ACCGCTGCGAACAAATCACCACCACAATCCGCTACGCTACCTTGTCTCCAAGAAGACCAGCTTCCTCTACCACCACCCACCGCGCGCGCCGCCTGTCAGAAAAATAGTCGCCGTCGACTACTGACTATTTGGGACAAATTTCTGTCTGTCTGCTATCCGCTGTGGCTATCGACAAGCAACAAGTGCATGTCAGGCACGGAAGCTCCAAAAGTCAAACAAAGCAAATAAAAAATTAAATCAGCAAATTCCTCGCTTCCGTTGGTCGGCAGAAAAAAACAACAAAAAGGTACTACTACACGCAACCGCGCTATCAGTCGCCCGCGTAACTTACCCACCTACCTGCCTTCTTTCTCAATCAGTCAACCTTACCTACCTTCCCACCTCCACCACACGCAAGGCACCGCATCCGCTCCGCACCAGACTCGATACAGGTTACCTCCCGTTCCGACCTGCCTCCTTCTGCGACAACATCCAAGCTACACACTGCAATAGCTCATCCACCCTGATCAAGTATAGATCAATCGGCACCACGCTCAAAGCAGTTTCTCCACCGTTTTTTTGCCTTTTACTGTCCTGTGATACCATTCAACGCCGCGCACTTGACCGCAATGGCCGACATCACCGATCAGCACGACCAGACCTCGCCTACCGACCTCGACGAGTCGCAGGTTGGCAACGGCAGCGTCGCCGAGAACAGAGGCGTTAAGCGCCAGCGTCCCAGCACCGCCGACGATGACGATGACGACGACGAGAAGGGCGGCCGCGAGCGTCGCAAGATTGAGATCAAGTTCATCAACGACAAGTCCCGTCGCCACATTACCTTTTCCAAGCGCAAGGCCGGCATCATGAAGAAGGTGAGTTGACACGGCATATCCCTCATCACAAACTTACTGCCGCCTACACCAGCGCGATTTCCACCATTTCATCAAATGCTGACAATAATTCCCCCTAGGCCTATGAGCTTTCTGTCCTCACTGGCACCCAAGTGCTTCTCCTCGTTGTTTCCGAGACGGGACTCGTCTACACGTTCACGACACCAAAGTTGCAACCTCTTGTCACCAAAGCTGAGGGCAAGAACTTGATTCAAGTATGCGCTCCATGCTTCACCCAATGCACTCTGGAAAAGCCAAAAAAAAACCTAACTCTTGATGCAGGCATGCCTGAACGCCCCCGAGCCCTCCCAGGGCGGCGAGAACGGCGTCGACGACTCGAATCAGGTCGACTCCCCCGAGGAGCCTCCTCAACAGCACCTCCCCCCTCAAGCAGGACGCCAGGGTATGCCGCAAAATCCTCACATGCCTCCCAACTACATGCCCAACGTCGGCATGGACCCCTCCCAGGCACTCGCCTACCAGAGCTACGTACAGCAACAACAACGGTCTGGTGGCTACGCCATGCCGCCGCAGTCTGGTCTTCCCCAGCACACGTCGCATCAGTCATGATCGCCGAGCTCATCATGACTTTTGCATTTCTCGTTGATACCAGACACACATCCTGCATCTTCCAGACCTCGCTCGCCAGCAATCGTCATTTTCTCACTCGGCGAGGAGGCTCTGGCAGTTTGGCGTTACAGTTCGATGTTACCAATTGCTGCATCTCGTTCCACTACGTTTTCTTTTTATATCTCTTGATTCCACTTTCCCTTTGCTGTTACGACTCCGCCGGCATCGCGCAACTCGGCCGTCCTGACCTGGAAATTCCAAGGAACACAGAGTTTTGTGCGACGCCATTATCGCGGAGCGGATTTTAATGCTGTCTGGCTGGGGGAAACGCGGGAGACGTGACGAGAGACATGGCGACATTGAGGAGCATGTGATCAGGAGACATGGGGTTTGGGCGGCATTACGAAGGCGGCGGTCTCGTTGAGCACGGCACGTCTGCGCCTCGCGCCAGGCGGCGTGCTGTCCATGGGCGCGAGCTTTCATGGTATCGTTGGCCATTTTCTTTTTTTCCCGCTTTTTTCCCTTCTTCTGCAGTGGCGGCGGGGGAGGTTGTGTGGTTGGAGAAAGCTATGTGTTGCGGAAGCAGGGTGGGGGGATTTCCGGCATGGGAAAGGGCGGGCGGCTTCTTTTTCAGTATGAGAGCATGACATCTCACGGCTGGGGCAGGCACATCTTTTGGAATGGACTGTGATGATTTTATTAAAGTCATGGATCAACGTGGGAACAGAGAGTTGTCGCGCGACCACTACTCCCGCCCCAGAACAATTTTCTCTCACTACGCTGCTCTACAAGGAAATGTCTTTGGGATTTTTCTCCGTAGGAATCGGCACGATACCCCCGGCCCTGAGCAAATCAACAAGAGCTACATTCACACCGCACACATTCGTCCCCTTTTGTTGTCATCGTCGTCACTTGTGTCAGACAGAGACCCGAACCTCTGGGTCTTCGGAGTCAGGAGAATGGAAGGAAGCAAACACCGAGGGACCGGGGAACCCCCCGGGGGAGGGGGTGTGGGAAAAGAAGGGATGAAAATGAAGACGAGTAAGAATATGGAGAAGGAAGAAATGTATCTCTGCCTGTATGATAGTATATCCGCGTGCGTGCCCTTGCGATTATTCTTGCCCACGTCTTCGTACCGACACTACCACTACTACCTACTAGAAAGTCAGGACCTGACGAAATGCTAATCTTTTCAACGTTTCCTACCTTGTATGTAATGCCAATCCGACCTGTGATGAGAATTTGGTTAGATTGTAGCAACTGTAGGAGTTGCCAGTTGTCGTAAAGCGACCAATCATGGCGTGGTTGGTTGTTTCCGTCGAGTTTAGAAAAAGAAGGGGAGACTTGTGCTTACTACGTACACATTGTGTCTTCCGGCCCTTCCTCCGCCCCCGTCCGTCCGTCCGTCCGTCCTCCATCTCCGCTTGCGGAACAAGAAAAATAGACTCGGTTTGGTTTGGTTTGGCAGTGCGCAAAGTCCGTGGCGCATACATTGAGTGTGTGGTCTGCCGTCATGGTGACATGACAAGTGATTGAACTCTAATGGTGAAATGCGAGACACGAAAAAGAGGTGCGGCAAGTGACTATGAGGGGAAGGGGAAAGAAGGGGAGAGGAAAGCCCGGTCGTCGTTTTCTTCCTTATTTTTTTATTTTATTTTTTCCCCCCCCCTTTTTTGGGGTGCAAGGCTGATGATTGATTGCGAAGAGGCTTGCTTATCATGCGCGGGCAAGGTTTTCGCAACACTTTTGGCTTCTGTCCTATCCACATCAACGGTTGTGTCATTTCTCCTCGATATTTCCTAATCAATTCAAGCTTGGGCGGGCACCAAGTACGAGCCAACCCGCACCCGTCCGGTTGCTTCCTGGGTAGGCTTCTTGACAATTTGACGTCCGCGAGGGGAGGAGATGGTTAGGTTCCAGACCGCCCTTGATTGAGGGAGGTTAATTCGTCGACGGGCGCTCTCTTCTTATTAGTGGTCTTGTCTTTACGAATTGGAGAAGTCGCCGTAGTTTTGGTATGTGGTTGAATCGCCCGCCGACAACTTGCCTGATTCGGTCGAGCAGCGGATCTCTGGTTCCATCGTGGCCGATTACCTCGCCTCACTGCAGATTCCTGAATGGCGGGAACTCGGGATGCCAGGGGCAGAGTAGAGATTCGAATGCTGCTTTTGGCCGTGTCGCGCGCTGTGATTCGGCGAACCACAGACCCGCCCGCGGCTCGACCGGCGCAACCCAACTGTTGGGCGCGGGCTGACAGTGTTTGTGGACCTGCGGGTAGTAGCCACCTCACTGCCCGCCCTCGTGTTTCGCTCGCTGTTGCCGGTGGAGAGGGCTGTCTGAGGTGCACGTCCGCAGCGCGGCTTCGGCGACGGCGCCGGTAGCGGGGGTCCAGCGGGGAAGTAGAAGAGGGGGACAGCGCGTGGAAATGGCGCGACGGGCGACGCCCAACCCACATGGGTGTAAAGAAGAAGAAGACGAAGAAGAAGAAGAAGAAGCTCATGGCTATGCAATCATTTTGGTCGGTCTCTCGGTCTCTCGTATCTCGCCAGACTCGACTGGTCAAGGACCTTGGGACTAAACACGTCTTGATGTGTCACATGCGCATCTGTGTGCTTCATCTCTTTTCTTTTGGCCTCTCTGCAGCGGGGTAGAATCGACAGATTTGGGGGAGTTTAAAAAAAAGCGTTTCCAGCTGTGAGGTTTCCTGCAAGGCAAATGTCTGTCTGCTGCTTATGGCGGGGGAGGTCCTGTCTGGATTTGGACGTGAGCAGGGACAGCTCGTTGCCTTTTTGGGCCTGGCGGGCTTGACGGGATTCGCGGCGAACTAGTCTGCTGCGGTTCAACGTGATCAGATCTAGATCTGGCCAGACAATTTTCTGGAGCTCTTTCGGCAATTATCTTGTCTGCGGGAGCCCGGGACCGGGCTTGTATGCAGTTGTTTTGACCGTCTGCGCAATATAGGAAACGGCACATAAGGCTGCATCTACCCCAAACTTGGATACCAGCGCAGCCCTCTGCTTCTGCAGTCCGTCGGCAAGGATGGCCAAAGACGAGGTTGGTTTTGAGTTAAAGGGTTGGCGACCTCTTGGACACTACAGGAAGGGTTCAATGCCGAGTTCCAAGGGCCTATCACCATGTCCGGATACTGCTCCCGAGGTCATTTCAAGGTATACGGAAGCCGTCGCCACTAGATGGGCCAGTGCGAAGCGTAGCAAGCCTTCGACTGATATCCGAAGTCGCCATGCTGGTGTTTGGTGTTCCAAGGCCCTATGGCATCGTCGGACTTTGAAAACATGGACTGATTCTCCTCATGTTTGAGAAATTGGCGTCTAGAATGCTCTCCTCCGCTTGCCATCTCGTTGTCGATGGCCTCTGTCCTCTTGCAATGAACCTAGGCTGAGTCCTTGTCAGTCCGGACAATCATGAACTTTGCATCGTCCCAACTACTCCTCCTTGAGACGGGTAGAGAAAAGGGACACCCAAAAAGTCCCGATGCTCGCAGATTGTCGCTTTGTACTGCACAGTGCTCGGAGTTGAGCCGCGTCTCTTTGTTGATAACTACCCCTTGTCGGGATTAGGGGCAGATATCGTGGACTCCGGGCAAAGCGTAAGCCCTGCACAGCCACTGCACTCCCGTCGTCTGTTGTCATCTTCGCAGCAAATCGCAACCCGATTGGAGCGTAGTAGTTGAGATGCAACGGATGGCAGGGTTCGACCGACTTTCGTCGTACCGGACATTCCAAGTCTGCGCCGTGGCAGCCAAACGCACTTTTCAGTCAGAGTTGGCGGCGTAGGCAAGTCTTGGTTGTCTCTCGATCTCTTGTACTGATGCCTACAAGGCTAAAAACGCCGATGCACATGCTCTGGCGTAGAGAGAAGGTGGTCGAGGCAGAGCACCGTTACATGATTCCCTTCTCATGTGGGAGTCGCCGCACTCCTCTGCAACATGGTCGGGAACGAGGTTTGCCTGGAATAGAGCATCGGAGCAATGAAACTTTGAGGTCCGGCTAGAGGGGAGCTGCTCAGATGAAACGTTCAGAAACAAGCTTCGCGGAAGGATGGGTTCTTAAAAGTGCGGAATTGGAGGAAATACTCCATATGCTCAGGGCTGCCATGCTACGCTGGGCGATCTCGCCTACGGGAGCGCAAGTCGAGATGCCACGGCGCGAAGGGAACATGCTTGTTGATCAACAACAATAACGTATCCGTACTCGCAGAGCATGTGATTGGGCGTATAGTCGACTGCTGCTTTGTGCCTAAAGTGATGGATGGGCTGCTAATTTTGTCGTTCGGCTTGGCTTACTGCCCCTCAAAATGGTCCCTGTCTGTGGTATTTGCGAGGCTTAGCGATACACTTCCGTGGAGACAGAACTTGCGGACTAGCAAGCTGCAGCTGCCTCTATTTATTTCTCTGGCCGAGCATTGCGGGCAACTCGGCGTGTGGCTCATTTTTGGCTCAACTCATTTGGTGTTTGAGTGCTTGACCTGGACGACGTGGGAAGAGTGGAGGGTACGAGGGCGAGTAAGCGGCTCAGGTGAGGCGGTACAGTGACTGAGGCGCCACGCCACTTACCTAGGTCGGCAGTTACCCACGTACCTTAGGTAAGGTGATGCCGTGACTTGTTGGCTTGGCACATCTCACTTCACAGGAAGGGCCGGGGGCGGCGGACTGAGGGAGTTTGAGAAGGTTTCCGCACAGGCCAAGCAGGGGCACTAGACACCCTTGTACCTGTACTTGCGGCACTATCACCGCACGGCACGGCAAGCGGGAGGAGGACCGATATCAATACCAAATCTGTAGGCACAGCTTCATTGACAATCGTCGTTGCTGTGGATTTTACAATCATAGGCTGTCTTCGAGTATACATCTATTCTTCGTGCAACACCACACAGCGAGCGTCATCGCCCGCCGCAAGTGAACTATTAGTTTCCTTCGCACACAGCGCAGAGAAAGATTAAAAAAAAAAAAAAAGGACGTTCTGTCCAAGGATTGACATATATCACATTGTCCATTCCTTCGTGGTCGTATTCCTCGTGTCCATCTACTGTCTTCCTGCATACACCCACCCCAGAGTCATCACATCGTACAAGTGAGTTAGGGAGAAAGTTTTGGTCAGTATTTGTCTCCGTAACCGCTGCTGATAGTTCGCTAGTGCTCGCCCATAGTGGCAAAGCGGCCAACAGCAAGACTGCCCAGGAAAACACCACCGAGAACCGACAGGAGATAACCAACATTCATCGTCATGACAGCCAACATTCTGCAAGCATTGTCAGTGATGTCTTGCAGGTTGGCAATGAAGAGAGCACATACAGAAGGTAGCCAACTCCGGCGATGGCGGTGTCGATAACAGCGCGGACAGGATCAACGGATAATCTCCATGGTCTCCAGATACCGTGCCCCTTTTGGACAACAGTGACGTTCTCCTCAAGGCCGTTCTCAGAGAGCACCATTTGCTTTGCCATGCTGTCCGTCGACATCTTTCCTGCCATACCGAGCTTGCCGTTGACACTGACATAGCGGCGCTTGAAGTCCTTGTCCAGCCATCGCTTCTCCTGAATGGATTTGAGAGCCAGCATGCTGCGAAGACCGAACGCGAGGAAGATGAGGAAGATGCACGTGGCGGCGTAGGTGCCAACGCTATTCGGGGTCCACGCTTCGGTGTAGAGAGGAGTTTTGAGGTTGGTCTGGAAGATGGTCATCATCATCATGCTCATGCTTCCGCCGGACGAGCCGTGGGTGTCGTTCATCGTTCCGGATCCCATATCCATTCCCGGCATGGCCTCCGAAGATGTTGTGGTTCCCGTCGCTCCATGGTCATCGCCACCGTGTCTTGCCATGAGTAAGCTGTCCATATTTGCGGGTGTCGTGGCGAAGCGGTCGACGCTGGCGTGCAGGAATTCGAAAACAATTGACGATTAAGGTGTGATGATGCCCCGTATGTTTAAATTTGCCAGGCTCCAGTCCCGGCCGTGGAGTCAGTTATTATTTAAGATGGAAGAAAGAGCGTCCTGGCCCTTCGGATGGGTATGCCAAGATGAGGGGAAAAAGGCGCCACTGGCGATGTTATAGATTGGCAGTGAGAAGGTTTGCGTGGAATCTTCAGACGCTTCGAGCCGGGAGGTTGTTACGAATAAGCTTTGCGATACTCCGACGAAACGAGAGCATGTTGTGCATGAACGGCAAGTCAACATGGCTCATGCCAAGATGTAGGAGGCGGGCGGTCGTGACTTTTTGTTGCCTCCTACCTGCGGGCCAGGAAGCGTGGTTGCACCCTGATGAGCCGGGCAAGCGGCCACATTCAGGCCTAACACGGCGTTAGCAGGAGGCCACGGCATCACACGAGACCGTTTGCTAAGGCCAGGAGAAGGAGCTGATACCGAAGCATCGGGGACGCCTCTGGCAACCTGCGCATGGGTGGAGTTTGCGACAATGCCAAGGCGGGGTGTCCCCGCCCTTCTCTTTCTGATTGGTCTGTGACCCATGTCTAGCTCCAAGAATCCAAAGGAGTAAGAAGTATCGTTACCTGCTCCTGCTAACAATTTGCTCCACGAGTGACAAGCAAACTCAACCACCATTCATTCTGCCCTAAAACAAATTGCTCACTACTTGTCTCGACATCAGCCGTTGTCTCCCCCGTTGTCTCCTCCGCTGTTGGCCTTTTCTTCGTCCCCCACAACACTTTGGACGAATCACGAGACGAAAGAAGAAATAATGGTATTGAGTTGAACGTTGTTTGTTGGCTACCCCGTGGCCAATGCAACGGCCTACCTTATCTGGACGTTCGCTTCTCGCCTCGTTCATCGACTCCGACACCGAGCCTGGCAGCACAACACTCTCCGGCAGCCTCAGGTCTCCAATGCCAAATACAGCTTACTGTCACACAATCTGTAATTATCCGAAGACAGCGTCATGGGCCGCCGAGGGAGAAAATTTCAGGCCAGCCATGGCTATGATAGAATTCAGACGCATTTGTTGAACGGGGGATTACTCAACGCCCTGGAGTCCCTTGCCGGCTACTACAAATTTGATGCTTGGAGGAAGAGACTTCGGCTGAATACGTCTACAAGACTGTTCGAAACGACTGTTGTGGCTCATATTGTCCATAAGAGCCGACCACGATGTCTCAAGTGTCGCTACGGAGCCCAGGGTTTGGTGTTTCAACACATTCGTCCGAGATCGTCTCGGGCCAGCTTATTCTCGGCCATCTCAAAGCACCAGAAAGGGACCTCGTCCCACAATCTCGCCCTGAGCCCGCCAATCGCAACCGCACTCCCTCGATCTCTTCTCTTCTTTACCCCAAAATGTGGTCGATCAACCGATGAGCGAGCACGTTTGGCATCTTTGTCATCCAACTTGCGCATCATTGCCCCGATACTTCGCCACGCCCCACTTCTCGCGTGCGACTCTGTCCCTGCTGCTCCCAGTGTGAAGCGGGAGGTTCGCTTAGTATGGCAACTTGGATTCGATTCCCATCGGCGTCAACTGGTGTTTTAGCCGTACGGCCTATCTTTCCCTGACCAAGATTGTCGGCGCAGCTTTGAGGCCTACTTGCATTCAGCCGAATTTCAACCACCAGCAGCCCAGCATTCGTTTATCGGGCCAGCTCCATCGAATTTGGTGCTCTGTTGTACAGGCCGCATAAGCCGGTTCGAAGGAAGCTAAGAAGTTACCAGAAGTCAACATCACCGTGATCCAACTCGTTGAGCATACTTAGTTGACTGACGCCTCTACGCTGTAACAGTCTTGTTCCTCGGACTATATCGTCATGGACAAAACCGAGACAGCATACATGCGGCAAGCTATGGCGGAACGCACTACTAGGTACAGCACGAGATTGCCAACCAAGAATCGACGAAGCGAACTTCGGCCACCCGCAGAAGCTTCCTCCTTGGACCAGCCTACTTCTCTGGCTTGCTTACGCTATAAGTGGCAACTCCAGGCGACAGCTGATTAGCTGATCTACACTTATCCTTGAGATGGTCGCCGTTTGTCAGAGTGTCAGTGCCTTCGAGCCTCGATATTCCGAAGCCGTGTCTCAGACAGGAGGGTGTGTAATCAGTCTACACACAACTCAACCTCCTCTCGCACTAAGTCTTGAAGGCAGACTACGATGCTACCATGGAGGTAGAATTGTCAAAGCCCAACAATCCAACAATATGAAGCTCGGCAATGCCCCGATTTATGATCTTGACAGGAGACCGCAGCAAAGTTTTCAAGGAACGTTCTAAGTCTTCCGTAGATCTGGTCATGACTGGCACGTTCACGGTAGCTTCGAGATTACTGGGAGAGGGCAGTTGCCTTGGCTGAATCAAAGAAGCTACCACCATACACGAATATTCTTCCATGCTACTCCGCCGTCGCCGTCCTATCATTTCTATACGGGACAAGTCGTTCCAACTTCATCTTGACAGAATGATACAACCCATATCTCAGACGAGATTGGAAGAACATTCACATCCTGGATCTTCAAACTTCTGATTTAAGGTTAGGTGCTGAGCACTCTCTTACTTACAGTGTGCACGCTCTGGATCCATCATCGGGAAGAGATGAATTTCGCTCCGTTCTTAGCCTGATTTCGAGATACAACTGCAAATACCGGCGCGAAAACCACGGCGACGCTTGGAGACAGAGACTTCACAAGCAAGGATCACCGGTGATCATTGACCCGGGTCCAATGCAACTCTAGCGGCCCTCGGATTAGTTGAAGTCTATTGACTTGCAACGGGTCTCGTCAATACAGAGCCTGTCAAAATGCCATCTTTTCCTTCGAGGAGAAGAGCCTGTGTCCCATGACGCCATGCAGCTGCCCGTGAGCGTCGGACCATTTCAGTAAGCGCTGATATATGCCTGGCTCATGTTCACTGCCCCAGTTGACTCTGTGGCCTGACTGACACGGGAATCGGCTGGTATGCTTCGGTTGGGGGCTTCCGTACCCATCTGCCCCTGGCGGCTCTGGGGAAATGATCTGCACCAAGCCGCAGAACCATCCATGGGAATTGAATGGTTGAAGGCAAGGTTGGTCCGGGGCAGGGAACAGGCCATTCCCCAATCTGCATCCAACCCAAACCGCGGGGCCGGGCCGGGATCAAGGGGCGACATCGCAGGTTGCCGAGCCTAATTCGACGACTTGCAACGGACGCCCTTGCCAATTCCTCCACTATAATTAAAGTCGGCGTCTACTCACTGTCCATCCAGTCATCGGCAGCCAGCATATGAATCATGGTATTAATCTCCGAAGTCGCCCTTCACCATGCCTACGTTCGTTGGAAATAGGTGACGTCAGGATTGTGTAGCAAACGCGATCTCCGAGCTGTTTGAGCAGTTCGGAACATCGGGCCCGGAGGACAGACGAAGCCTAGGTAGGGTTTGGCTCCTCGGGCTCAGCATACTCGCCCTCGGTCGCATGTGGTAGGCGGGGAATTTGATAACCTAGTATAACATCCCAGACTATCTCGTCTACTTCCCCCGCATGCTGCATCGTCACGGCGTTTTGCAAGAGGGATTATTCCGACACTGTAGGTTGTATACTGCCTGCGCAGTAATAATATCTAATCTTTGACCCCCCATTAGGGTACAAGGCATTGGCAAGAAGCAATACACTGGATGTCGCGTAACATCAATGGCAAAAATCTTGCAGTAACCGCATTCTCTTCCACGAATCGGCTCGAGTCCAGACACAGGGGTCTTTATGTCAAAGGAGTACATCGTATGATCACTCAACGAGCCGTGCCATTGTACAACACACAAACTTTCGACCGATTGGCAAGGGAAGCACAATAGACACAGTTGTGCCTGCTTACGATTAATGCCACCTATGGAAGGACGTCAGCTTCAAGGAATCTCAAGGCTCCTATGACCATTCGGCCCGAGGAGAGTTGTGATAGTCTGACGCACGATCACGCTACAATACTAGCTTTGCATGACACCGAGTGACTTTTTCAACAGCGAGAGACAAATTGGCTGACTGTATACGGACAGAGCTCGTTGAATAGAATTGGGCCGTTCGGATCGAGGAGCACCTTGCTGAGAAGTCGACTACGGGCCGATCTGTTACGAATCATAGCAAGACAGGAAGGCCCTTGGTGTGTCGTTAAAGCGGATTGCAGGCTTGTCGTCGTGGAAATCGTTAGTTCTGCATCCGGACGTTCAGCCGCTGCCGCTTCGAGGCTGCCGCTAGGCTCGAAGAGGAACTGTTAGAGCAGCCAGGAGGCGTTCTGCCCGGGTGCTGATCTGTGCAGGAGTCCTCAAAGACAACCACATTGGGGGTCACTGGAAACGAGATTGCACCACAGCCCACCGATACCTCCTATTCACATCCTAACACCCGAACATTGCTTACGTGGCGCGGTTAGGCATGCTCTCGTTACCAAGGAGGCTGACAACGCCCTGGTCATACCGCCTTCTCGATACTCGTCGCAGCCGTGGCAGACAAGCCTTTTGCTATTCCACGTTGATGAATGCAAAAACGACAGAAGGAACAAGAGGAACGTCCGCCATCAACGTTCGCCATGCTACCGAGATGCTGGCCGGGGTTTGCTTGCTGACTCCTTCACCCCTCCTTCTGTCCGAATGTACGTACGGCAGCGATACTTGCATCATGGGGCAATCGAGCAAGTGATTCGATTGCCAAGAAGACGCACATATGCGACGCTACAGTCTTGACCAGTCAGACAGCCAAATTGCTGGAAGCCGGGGAAGATGATGCCCATGTCTTTCGGTACACCCACTATCACTTATCCTGGCTGGTGAGTAGGACAAAGCCAGGCAAGAAGAGTCAATGCGGATGGTCGGTGAGAGTCTTCGCCACCTTCAATTCCACAGTTTCCGTTGAGGAGCGTCCCCTCCCTCTCCAAAGCGTCAAACGAGCTGCTAGTCTATCTTCAGTAGCGTTGATGCAAGGTCTTTTCAAACAATCGGCGCACTCCATGAGGTCAACCAGCGCTCTCAGGCGTATGTTACCCGGCTGCAGGTCGAAGACTGACAGTACTCGAGCCCGCGTGCTCAAAGTGGCATGGCTTCCCTGGCCGACTCACTAGTGGTGCCGCCGGCTCCAAGAGAAAGGGGGGAAAGGGGAAGGGCTAGAGGTTCCCCGGGAGGTGGGCGTCTCGCACATTTTCGCCAGCCCATCGCGTGGGAAGTGACAAGGCAGGAATGCTTGTTCATGGGCTGGTCTCCGCACCACCTTGCTCTAGCCTCTCCCGCTCCTCTCTCCCCCTCTCATTCCACCCTCTCGCGTGTGTGTCTCAGCTCACGTCAGGTTCTCAATTCAGCTCCGCAGCCGGATCGCTTTCACCTGCCCCGCTAACCTCCCCCCCCCCCGCTTGCTTGGCTTTGTTCCTCATCAGGCCGGAGCATTTCGAACTGGTCATCATGGCCGTGTATGATACGATGAGCCAAAGTTGGAACGCAATCAATACCTGACCAGCTCCGGACTAGGGCAACCTCTCTGGCACCTTGAATATGCGCGATGAAGCCGATCCATCAAGCTACGCTTTCTCTCTGCAGATAACCGATATGCAAGGGAGTCTAGGCTCTTCTGAATTGATCGAATCCCGCTTCCTCGTCGACTTCGCGTATCTTTGACGAATCCCGGGCGCGGTATACAAGAGCGGGATAACGCGCAACAAACTCTCAAGGACACTCCGCCCTTCGGTTCTGCCAAACGCTGGCCATCTACGCTATGACTACTCATCACCTATCCCCACAGATAGGCAAATATTATGTCAAGCTTTTGTGACTGAGATGCCTTGGAATACGGCGTGCCACCCATGTACGACATGACATACAGAAGGGGGGAGTGTGAAGACTGGTCCAGTGACAACTGCAACGTGTTTTCCCTTCCATCTATCCCCGCTCAACAGAGCACGCACTCTCGGACAGGATTTTTATCGGAACGAGATACACACCGGAAAATATGGGCTGGCTTACGAGCATGTGGTTTGCTTCCTCGCCGATCAACTAAGGAATCCCCAACGCGGTCACACAAGCAACGTCCCCCTTCCGTCAGAAGCATCTCATTTTCTCGAAATTCTCCAAAACCTCCTTTCAACGAGGAGAGATCCTAAGAAAAGGCCTAGCCCAAAAGAGCGAGGAGGAGGCACTGACTGATCTACTGCGCGTTATGTCCCCCTCCTTCCACCCCAAAGTCATCTGATGTTTTGAGTATGGCGCGCGGCGGCGGCGGCGGCGACGGCGGCGACGGCCCAGCGCCTCTTGCTCTTCTTTGCAACAGCACACAGAAAACCTGCCATCCCATCTTTTCTGGGCCTTTCCATCTTCTCTACATGCGGCCATTACACACGTTCCCTCACGCCCAAAGCTCAAAGGGCAAATGGTCAAGAAAAAAAGCTAAAATTATACCCCCCCCCCCCCCCCCCCCCCCCCCCCCCCCCCCCCCCCCCCCCCCCCCCCCCCCCCCCCCCCCCCCCCCCCCCCCCCCCCCCCCCCACCCACCCCCCCCCCCCCCCCCCCCCCCACCCCCCCCCCGCCACACC